TTTGTGTTTGCCCTATATGAGCCATAGTTGTAAAAGTCAGTCCATCACTCAAACATTCATTAAGAACTTTCTACATCCCAGGCACTGTGCTACACACTGGCCATGGACTGAAAAACAAAAGCACAGTTGTTGCCCTCAAGAAGCTCATAGTCTAACAGGGGAGACTATATGTATATGTGTGTGTGTGTGTGTGTGTGTGTGTGTGTGTGTACGCACATATACATATGTGAGCATATGCACACGTACATGTATTTATGCTATATATAATTGCATATTATACAATGTAAATGTAAGCTAGCCTCAGAAAGGAGGCCCTAACAGTGGGACGTGTTGGTAGGGGAGGCTAGGAAAGGCCTGCTGTGGAAAATGGGATGTTAGCTGAGTTTTGAAAAAAACTAGGGGAGTCAGGAGGCAGAGGTGAGGAGGGAAAACCCTCTAGGCATGAGGGAAGAGACAAAGAGAAGGCACAATATCAGAAAACGAGGTGCGATGTCCGAGGAATAATGTCTCTGTATTGTGGAGTAGATGGGCAGGAAGTAAAGTGTAAGAACACTGGAAAGATAGTCAGGGACCAGGTAGTGAAAGCCTTTAAAAGCCCATCTTAGAGGTAATAGGGAGCCATGCGGGTATACTGAGTAGGGGCGCATGTGCATAGTCAGCTCTGTACTTTGGGAAGGCCACTTTGATGGCTTAGTGGAGGATGAACTGGAGCGGATAGAGACTTAAGGAAGAAGAGCAAAGAGAAGGCCGTTGCATAGTCCAGGTGTGAAAGTGAGGGCCTGTCCTAGGCTGCTGGCTTTTGAGTAGAGAGGAGGGGGCATGGACAAGAGAGATTGTGACAGGCTTGACGATGCAGTTGAGGCTAGCACCAAGGTTGGGTACCTGGGCAGCTGGGAAGATAACAATGTCCTCAACAGAAATAGGGAATTTGGGGAGAGGGAAGACTCTAGGAGGAAAGATAATGAGTACAGTTCTACGTGTCTTGAGTTTAAAATAAGTCTATGGGACCTCCAGTTTGAAATGTCCGATAGGCTGCTGATGATGCAAGGGTAGAAGTCAGGAGAGAGACTAAGGCCCTGGGCAGAGATCTGGGAATCATCCTCAGAGAGATGATCGTTGAACCTATAGGAGCTGATGAGATCACCAAGCAACAGAGTGGAGAGCGACATCCTTAATGTTTTTGTGTCATGGATCCCTTTGGCAATCTGGTGAAACCTGTGGACCTTTTCTCAGTATAAATTTTTTTTCCAATCGCGATTGAAGGAAATGCTAAGTTTCATTTAGAGGTGAGTGAAAATAATGTGTTTTCTCCCCATCCCATTCCACAGACCCCTGAAATCTATCCATGGACCCCTCCCCCATTCAGGGGTCCTGGTATAGAGGGAGAAGAAAAGAGGCCCAGGATAGAGCTTTGGGGGGCCCTCATGGTTAGCAGTGTGACCTGGATGAAGATCCAGCAAAGGAGACTAAGAAAGAGAAATCCAGCAGGCAGGAGGAGAACCTCAAGAGAAAAGATGTCCAGAGGAAGATCATGATCGATAGTGTTGAAGGCTGCAGAGAAGGCAGAGTGAAGACTGAGGAAAGACCATTAGACTGGGCAACTCAGAGATCAGAGCAGCTTCGGTGCAACATTGAGTCCAGAAGCCAAATTGCACAGCTTTTAAAAGAGAGTGCCCACCTAATGCAGCTAGGTAATGCCATGATGCGCAGAGTGCTGGGTCTGGAGTCAGAAAGATGCAACTTCCTAAGTTCAAATGTGGCTTCAGACACTTACTAGCTGTGTGACCCTGAGCAAGTCACTTAGTCCTCTTTGCCTCAGTTTCCTCATCAGTAAAATGAGCTGGAGAAGGAAATGGCAAACCACCCCAGTACCTTTGCCAAGAAAACCCCAAATGGGGTCACAAAGAGATGGCCACAACTAAAAATGACTGAACAACAACAGTAGATGAGGGTGAGAGGAGGTGTAAACGGCTTTCTCAAAGAGCTAAGCTATGAAAAGAAAGAAACGGGCATTTATTAAGTACCTACTATGTGCCAACTATTATGCTAAGTGTTTTACTTGTTTCTCATTTGATTCCCACAACAGCCCTAGGAGGTAGGCACTGTTATTAGTATCCCTGTTGTACAGCTGAAATTGAGTCAGCCAGTGGTTAAGAGACTTTCCCAGCTAGTAAGTGTCTGAGTCAGGATTTGAACTCAGATCTTCCTAACTCTAGGCCCAGTGCTCTGTCCAAAGTACCACCTAATTGCCTCTGAAGCAGGAGAAGAGCTAAGAGAGGGGGTTAAATCAAGTGAGTGTTTTTTAGGGATAAAGGAAAAGTGGGATTGTTTGTTTGACAGCAGGGAAGGAGTCAGTAGTTAGGGAAAGACTGAAAAGTAAAGAGGGAGAAGGGATGACAGGGGCAGTCTGCTGGAGAAGATGGCAGGGGAGGGGATCAAAGGGAGCCACAGAAGGTTGGACTTGGCAAGGACAGGGGCCAGCGCTGTATGAGACAGGGGAGAAGGGGTTGATAGTGGGAGAACACCTCTGGGTAATGTGAGATCAGGAGGAGGGGAGAAGAGGCAGGAAACGTTTTGATGGACAGACAGCCAGGGTGGGATTCCTTGGGAGGTCTGGGGGGGGGCGGGGTGAGGAGGTTTACAGTAGCTGCTCTGAAGACTGATCATGTTCTCTTCTCATTTGTTTTTTGGTGTGAGAAAAATGTGTTCTCCTGGGCCTTGTTAGGTATTTCATCCCTAGCCAGGATCCTGTTGTCAGTAAATTCAGAACCTTTCCTAAATCCTTTCTTCTTAACCAGGTGCTTACTCTCAATTAACAGGTTTCAAACGGGGCCCAATTTCACATTGTCATTTTCCCAATTTACGTTTCTTCTTTGCTTTCTGTTAGCAGCAACAATCGAAACACTACCAGTGCCCCTTGGTTCTTCAGTCTTTTTTTTCCCAGAACTTCATAATCCCTAATAATATTTTCTTGGTTCCTATTGGGAAGTGCCATCTTTCTCCATGTGAATCACCAGTAGTAGATAGTAATCATGTATCTTGACATGTGCTAAGGTCACCTGTGACTACTCAGATGCTTGCCCTGGTGATGCAATAAACCTCTCTATTGATTCCCCCCCCCAATAGTATTTTATTTTTTCCAATTACTTGTAAAGCTATTTTCAACATTCATTTATAAGATTATGAGTTCCAGATTTTTTCTCCCTCCTTTCCTCTCCTGCCCCCTCCCCAAGATGGCAAGCAATCTGATATAGTAAACCTCTCTATTGTTAATGTCATTGGCAGATAGCCATCTCATTACCACCTCGCTAGGGAGCCTCCAGTAACCATTACTTCTCTCCTAGCCCCCTGTTTTTTATTGAATGAATGCAGGTCTGCATCATCACTCCTCATAGCATAAGAAGCCACGCCATCCTCAGAGGCTGTTACAACTCCCTATGATAGTTGAAGAGCCTCAAATCTATTACCATTGTCCTTCATCCTTTTCTCTGGAATATCTTCTACCCTCAAACCTCTTGACACAGGAGAAGATTCTGTATTACTTCTTTAGGTCATTTTTATGTTTTTACCTTGAAACTCTCTTTCCATTTTCTCAAGGGAACTCTTATTTTCCACTAACCTATAAATGTATGGTAATCCTGAAACCCTTGGACCTTTTCTAGGAGAGAAACCCAACTTTACTTTCAGCATGGGTTGTAGCTGCCTGGCTATGCCAGAAAAAAACACACACTATATGAGTTCCCTGCAGAATTCTTAGTACATTCTACACTTGTAGGAGGGACAATCTTAAGTCTTGACTTCTTTGTCTTTCCCGTTGGCATCCTTGCAACCAACTTTCACAGTAAACTGTTCTGAGGAGTTGCATGTTGGCAAGGCCTCCCAGAGGGCTTCTAGCATGCGCCTTTTTGTAAGGCTAGATGATTCATCTACTCCTAAATAGACCCCTCCTGCCATTGCCTGGTTTTTCAGACATACAGTTTGTCAATGTCTTCTTTAAAATGTGCTTTCCAGAACTAAACAAAAAACTGACAATTGTCTGAGTAGGGCAGAGTACAATAGTAGTATTAGTAGACCCTGTATATCTCTTATTTTACCCTAAAATGTATTTGACTTTTTAGTTTTCATGACATACTGTTGGTTTAGATTAAGTTTGGGATCAACTAAAATATCTAGGCCTTTTGAACATGACCTGCCACCATACCAGGGGTCTTCAGTCTGATATTCAGTCTCCCAAACTTAAGTTCAAGTCTTTACATTTATGCTTTTGAATTTCATATTGGACTATTCTTCCAGCATGTTGAAATGTTTTTTAGAAATTTAATTTAGACATCTAATATAGCACATATTCCATATATCTTTGTGTCATCAGAGAACACGATCATTTATTTATGTGATTTCATCAAGTTTCATTAATAGGGTTGAGAAGAATAAAGTCAAGTACAAAATTCTAAGGCATAAAACTAGAAAAACTTGTAAAAGTTTACAAAACTCCATATTTTTTTTTGTAAAAGAATTTAACTGGCTCAAAGTGTGCTAGGCTATATTATCAGCCAATCCACAATTCTACATCTATAGACATGTCAAGAGACAAAATGGCTTGCCCAAAACTAAACATCCAGGTACTAAATTAGATATTCAGTTATTAAATCTCTTATGTCCCAGTTCAGAAATCTTATCATTAGGCGCCACAGTTAATAGAATGCCGGGCCTGGAATCAAGAAGACCTGAGTTCAAATCTAGCCTTACATACTTAGTAGCTGTGTGACCCTGGGCAAGTCACTTAACTCTCTGTTTGCCTCAGTTTCCTCATCTGTAAAATTGGGCTAATAGTAGCACCTCCCTCCCAAGATTTCTGTGAAGATCAAATTAGTAATAATTGTAAAGTGCTTAGCACAGTGACTGGCACATAGACACTTTGTAATTGTTAGCTATTTTAATCAGTAAAGGAAGTTTTCTTTTTCGTAGAAAGAACAGTGGCTATTGGTTTTTTTTTCTTTCAGATTTCCTGATTCAGAAGAAAAGTCACAAAATCAAGCAATCAACTCCAAAACAGGTTATTTCTGCAGGAGAATCACTGAAGGAACAAATCAAGGATGGTTCTTGGGATTGTTATGTCAGGCTAGAGAGGCAGAAGGATAAGCAGGAAAGACAATCTAGGCAAGTAACAGTCAGTAACAGAAAAATATTTAACAAAGCAAGTGTGCATAAATATAATACATTTGGGAAAAAGTTCAGAATGGGATCCATCCTTGTTCCGCAGCAAGGAGGTCTTAAAGGAGACTGTCTCCACAAGGTTGGTACATTTGGAAAGAGCTTCAAACAACGTTCATAACCAATTAACCATAAGAGAATCTCCTTGTGGAAGAAACTCTATAAGTATAATAAATGCAGGAAGCGCTTTAGTTACTACTCACATTTGAATCGTTACCATAAAATACACATTCAAGGGAAACTTTGTAAATGTAATGAATGTGTCAAAACCTTCAGGATCAATTTATCCTTTAATCTGCATAAAAGAATTAATGTTTTAGAGAAATCCTACAGATGTATTCAGTGTAGGAAAATCTTTAGCAAGAAGGGACATTTTAAAACACATAAGATAATTCATAATGACAAGAAATTATTCAAATGTAATAAATGTAGAAAAGCCTTTAGCGGTAATGAATACCTAACTCAACATCAAATGATTCATAAGGCAAATAAACCTTGTAAGTGTAATGAACGTGAAAAAGTCTTTAGCAATAATCCATATCCAACTCGACATGTAACGATTCGTAATGGAGAGAAACCTTCTAAGTGTAGTGAATGTGGGAAGGCCTTCAGCCAAAAGGGAAACCTTCAAATACACATGGTAATTCATACTGGAGAGAAACCATTTGGATTTGAATGTGGAAAAGCCTTCAGAAGTAATCAATACCTAACTCAACACCAAACAATTCATACTGGAGAGAAACACTTTGAATGTCGCGTATGTAAGAAAGGATTTAGGCAGAGTTCATCTCTTATGCAGCATCAGAGAACTCACACAGGGGAGAAACCCTACAAATGCAGTGAATGTGGGAAAGCCTTTAGCCGTAAAGAAAGCCTTAATGCCCATAACAGATTTCATACTGGAGAGAAACCTTATAAATGTGATGAATGTGGGAAAGCCTTCAGCTGAAAGGGAAGCCTTCATGCACATGACAGAATTCATACTGGAGAGAAGCCTTTTCAGTATAATGAATGTGGGACAGCTTTCAAATGGCGTGTTCATCTTAAGGAGCATAAGACAATTCATACTGGAAAGAAACACTTTGAATGTAATGAATGTGGAAAAGGCTTTACACATAGCTCATACCTTATGCAACATCAGAGAATTCATACTGGAGAGAAACCATATGAATGTAATCAGTGTGGGAAAGCCTTTAGCCAGAAGGGGCATCTTAATATGCACCAAAAAACTCATGCTTCAAAGAAACCCTTCAAACATAAAGAAGGTGGAAAGCCTGTAACTGTCCATTAAATTTTATGGCTCTTAACAAAATGCATATGCAAGAGAGATCCTTTGAATGTAAAGAATGTGGTGAAGCCTTCTCACACAACTCATCCCTTAAGAAACATTCTAAAATTACCTAGAGAAAAACACTTTAAATGTAATGAATGTGGGAAAAGCTTTAGGCATAGCACATACCTTATGCAACATCAGAGAATTCATAGTGGACAGAAACCCTATGAATGTAATGAATGTGGGAAATCTTTCAGGCAGAAAGGGACCCTTAATACACATAAGAAAACTCATACTGGAGAAAAACACTATGAATGTAATGAATGTGGGAAAGGCTTCACACACAACTCTTACCTTATAAAACATTAGAGAATTCATACTGGAGAGAAACCTTTTGAATGTGGTCAATGTGGGAAATCTTTCAGCCAGAAGAGAACTCTTAATACACATAAGAAAACTCATACTTGGCAGTAATCTTTCCTGTGTACTGAGTGGGAAAGATTTCAAATTGCATGGGGACATTAAGGAACATAAAGAGTTTCATAATGAAAAGAAACCCTTTAAATAGATAAAATGTATAGAAAAAGCCTTCTGGAAGAAGTAAAAGTTACTGTAAATCAGAGTTTTCATATGGAAACAATATTTTCAGTGTAATTAATGTTGGCAAACTTTCAAAAAAGTAGAAACCTTAAGGTTCATAAGAGTCATACTAGAAAGAATACTTTTATAATGGAAGTGGGAAAGCCTTTGCTCCTAAGAAAATTCATACTGGAGAGAACTTTTTTTAAATGTGTTACATTTGAGAAAACCTTCAATTAGAGGAAATACCTTACAGAATATTAGGTAATAGAGAATCAAATGAGATACTATTTGTAAAGTGCTTAGCACAGTGCCTGACACATAGTAAGTGCTATATAAATGCTAGCTATTATCATCAGTGAAACTTGATCGTGATAATGCTGGAGCTTACACAGATGTCTGAAAATGGAGGGAAAGCTTCATAAAATTTCTTGTTAAATATTTTGGAGTCAAAGTGTTACCTTTTTTCACCAGCATCAGTATTGCTTGTTACTTGTCACTCCTAGTCGTGTTGTGAACAAAGATAGAGAATACTGTGTAACCATTCTGACTGGGTCCACCACCAATCTGTATTACACAACCTCACCTTTCTTATTAACTCACTATCCCACTCTCCACAGCAGCTTTTCAAATCTTATCCTTCCTCTAACCTCCCATGGTTTCCCTCCTTCCACCTATCCCAACTCTCTCAGCTGAGAACTTTATTTACTATTTTGCAGATAAAATTGAGGTCATTTGCCAAGAGAGCCATCTTCTCCCTTCTTCCTCATTTTATATCACTCAGATGTCTTCTGCCACTATATCTTCCATCATCCTTTACATGAAGAGGAGGCCTTACTCCTTACCAAGATTAACCTTTCAAGATGCACAAGGATCCTGTTTCATCCCATCTTCCCCAACAGATTGCCCCGTCTGTCATCCCCACTCTATCACTTATTTTCAGTCTCTCCCTCTCCAAATGGCTTAATGTATACTACTTAAAAGCATGCTCATGTCTCTCCCATGCTCAAAAATTCCTCACATGATCCTACCATCCCTGCTATCATCTCATATCTCTTCGTGGCAAAACTCCTTGAGAAGACTATCTACCATAGATGCCTCCATTTCCTTTCCTCTCAATTGATTCTTAACCCCACTACAATACAGCTTCTGATGTCATAATTCTACTGAAACTGTTCCCTCCAGTTACCAGTAATCTCCTATTTACCCAACCCAATGGCTTTTTTTCAGTCTTCATTCTTCTTGACCTCTCTGTAGCCTATGACACTGTTGATCACCCTCTCCTCTTTGAATATTCTGTTCTCTCTACATTTTTGGGACACCACTCTCTCTTACTTCCTCTACCTATCTGACCACTTCTTGGTCTCTCTTGTTGGATCTTCATCCAGGTCATGCCCATTTACTTTGGGTATCTCACAGGGCTCTGTCCTGGATTCTCTTTTTCTCTCCTTTTATATGGCTTCATTTGATGATCTCATTACCTCCCATTCATTTATCATCTCTATGCTGATGATTCTTAAATCTACCTATCCAGTCCTAACCTCTCTGCTGACCTCCATCTTGCATCTGTAGTTGCCTCTCAGACATCTTCAACTGGGTATCCAGTGGACATCTTGAATCATATTTCCTCCTAAACACTTCCCCCTTCCAAACTTTTCCATATTACTTTTGAGGATGCCAGCACCTTTCTGGTCCCTCAGCCTCACAACCTAGGTGTCATCCTCAACTCCTTACCATCTTTCACACACTCCCAAATACAATCTGTTGACAAAGGCTGGCAATTTCACCTTTGCAGCATCTTTCAAATATGCCCCTTCCTCTCCTCTGACACTCACCATTTTAGTGCAAGCCTTCATCACCCTCACACTTGGATTATTGCAATACCCCAACGATGAGTCTACTTGCCACAAGTTTCTCCCCACTTCAGTCTATCCTCCATTCAGCCACCAAAGTAATTTTCTTACAGGTTCAACCATGTCACTCTCCTACTCAGTAAACTCCAGTGGCTTCCTGTTGCCTCCGGGATCAAATACAAAATCCTTTGGTATTTGAAGCCCTTCATAACCTATCTTCACCCCTCTACACCTTTCCAGTTTTCTTATACCTTATAGTCTGCCCCCTGCCCCCATTAATCCAGTGAAACTGGTTTCCTTACTATTCCATGAGCAAGGTATTCATTCCGTCTCCCTGCTCTGGGCATTTTTATTGCTTTCTCCCATACTTAGAATGTTCTCCTTCCTTATCTCCACCTGCTGACTTCCCTGGCTTCCTTGAAGTCCCAACTAACGTCTCATCTTCTACAGGTAGCCTTTCCCAGCTTCTCAGTTCTAGGGCCTTCCCTCTTTTAATTATTTCCTGTTTATCTTGTATATAGCTTGTTTGTAGATATTGTTTGCTTCTGGTTTCCTCCATTAGATTGTGAGTTTCTCAAGGGCAGGGTCTGTCTTTTGTTTATATATGTGTATGTTCAGTGCTTAGCACAGTGTTTGGCACACAGTAGGCAATATATAAATGTTTATTGACCGATTTCTCATTTAACCTTCTTGTAGACATCCCCTTTCTGTACTAGATGGTTTTGGATCAAGACCTGCATTCATAGACCCTTCTATCCTTTACCACTTGCCTCATCTTGTCCAGATCACCAGCCCTGGATAAATTCAATTGTTAAAGATTTAAAACAAAAATCTAAGACCAGAAACCAAGGGGAACTTTTCAATATATGTAGCAGGGACTAGACTGCAGTAGAGCACATGGAGCATGGGTAAGGACGGACCTGCGGGAGGCATCCCATGAGCTCCTTTGACTACTTCTGGGGAGACTTGTGGATCAACATTGAAAGGGTTCATTGCTTTAGGATGACAGCAATCCTTCGGTGGTCCTTGTTCCCCTATGCTGTGATGATGGCTGAAATGCTAGAGGAAGCGACATCAAAGATGCATCAGAGCAAGAATTTGTTTTACTTGATGACGTATTTGTAATAGGTTTTACTTTTCTTGCTTTCTCACTGGGTGGGGAAGGGGAGAGAATTTGGAACTAAAAATAAAATTGAATTTTTAAAAGATGGTTGAGATGTGGGGAAGGAGGGAGGAAGAGAAACAGTTCAGAACTTAAAATGTAACCAAACAAAATTTTTTAAATTTAAGCTAGATCAGAGAAAATCGGCCACAAATTTCTGTCTCTGTTTGTTTCTCTGTGTCTGTCTCAGTCTAACTCTTTTTCTCTCTCATTGGGGGAGGGGAACCTGCCAACTACTGAAGAGAGCCATTGACAGAAGGATGGGAGTAACCTGGCTAGACTAACTTACCAGAAGACGTGTCCAGCCTGGGGAAAGAGGAATGACACCATTCCTTCAGCTCCAAGCCTGTCTTTCCTCCTCTGAACTGCCTGAGGCCTAGAGAGGCTTCACTTTGAGGCCAGACCCATATGGATAATGAACATCTAAACTCATTCTCCCACGATTACTCCTCCCTGGTCATACTCTCTCCATCCCAGTGATTCTGAACCCCTGCTTGTCGTCATTCAAGCTCTCTTCTCTGATCCCTCATTTCCTTGCCCCTCGGCCCCTACCCCAGTCTCACTCCAAAGCTCCCCACCCCTACTACGCTTGCTGGAATACTTGCTCCGTAGAGGGGGGAGAATGGCTTTCATCTTACATCTTTTCCTTCCTTTTTTCCTTCTTCTGGCCCTCACTGAGACTTGGTTCCTTCCTGATGACACAGCCTCCCTGGCTACTCATCCCAGAATTGACTACACTTTCACTCATTCCCCCCT